CTTCATGTTTCAAATTTGCAAACAATTTTGTGGGCAGTTTACTGATGATTAGATGCATGCTGAATTCTTTGAGCTTATTTTACCGTTCTATAATTTTAAAGGACTAGAATTTTTGTTTTTGTACAGCAAATAGCAGTAGAGTGTAGCAGTTTTGGTTTTATAGAGGAAAGCAATAATGGCATACAATGAAACCGTTTGGGTACCACAAATTATGAGAGCAATTCTGTCTTTGTGAGGAAGGTGTTAGCCAAACTATTTAGTTGTATTAATGTTATTAGCCTTCATGGGGTATACTCTATGGATTTTATTAAAACAAGGGATAATTTCATATTACAACGGGCATTTGATGAGGGGCTAAATTAACCTGAATTTATTAATGCACATGGTACAAATTATTAATGTATTAGGGCTGTGGATTTAGGCACTTATGAGGGTGTGAATTTCGCCTATCCTATTTCTTAATTAACTTATCAATTCTAACACGTGGTTGTTGTCCCCAACTCACTTTCTATTTCTTTGTCCTTCCATTTCGTTTTCCTATTAATTGACATTCTTAAATTCTACGTTAGTTTTTGTTAACATTAATCACGGATTGCTTAAAAAAAAGTTATAGAAAAAGAAGCTAATCACCGACAAAAATTTGGTGTAGCAATAGCGTTTCCTCAAGTAATTATTCATAGAAACGGAAAATCTTTCTAAAAAATATATTTAAAAACTACTTTCAACAAATACCAGTCATGAACCGTGCAAGATGTAGCTTTGTATAAATAATTTCAATAAAGATTTCGTTATAATATTCATTTTTTGTTTGTTCCTTTTATTGTTCAAGAAAATTGTTACAATTAAAGTGCTCAAACTACCGACCCAGTTTTGAAAACGTTTCCATACATGAATGGATTATAATGTTATAAAATACTACATTGCATAAGAAAAAGCCAATATGCATTAGTTTTAGAGATATATGTCTCTATAAATGTAAAGTCTGAGTAGGGTTTGGTGTAAAAACAAAGTATTATTATTTGTTTTACCAAATATACCTTCTAATATTCATTATTATCTATGCATATCTTATCTATTCAACTTCTCGCCCTTACATAACTACCAGTACAATAAACACACAGAAACACATACACATACCTCCCATTTTTGGCCCAACAAAACTACTAATGAGGCAATAATTGCCAACAACTTCCTATTCTAAAACAATACCTCCAACCGTATATTTTTAAAATTTTTTCTTTTAGATTTGCACATACATAGGGTGTGTCATTCCACTAGTATATATCATTTTTTATGGATAAATTACATATAATCCCCTTATGACTTCGTTTGTTGCCACATGATCAGCTAATATTTCAAAATATATACTTCACCTCCTATGATTTTATATAAAGTGAAAATTTGATCGAAAATAGTCTATGTAACATCATTAATTAAAATACCAATAGTGTCCTTATTTAAATGCTAAATCAATCAATGGCTTAATTACCTTATACAAAAATATATGAAGATTATATGGATAAATGTAAAAATCATAGAGGTTAAAATAAATATTTATTCAAATTATAAGGGGTTTAAATGGATAGAAAGATTTTATCTCACACGCGCTTTTAGAGCGCGATTGGTACAAATGCCATAACTGATTTTGTATTTCATTCATTTTTCACTTTACATAAAACCATAGTGAGTTATGTGGTTATTTTGAAACTTTAGGGGTCATGTGGCATTATGTAAAATTATAGAGAGCTATAAGTAATTTACCTTTTTATCATGTTAGTCTTTAATGGTCTGATTAATTCAGACTAGTAATTCGCAACGGATCTTCTGTCCCACATTCTGTGTCACTCTCTGTCCCACTTTTTATTATATTGCTATTTCTCCTTCACAAATATCAAGTTTTAATTCCTTTTTATTTCCTTATGATCCAATAACTATTAATTGAATAAAAAATAAATACAACAGTTTCAAAAAACTAATATATAATAGAAAATTAAAAAATACAGCAGAAAATTCATAAAAAATCTCATTTTTTATGCATTTTGATTTTTTGAGTTTGTTAAATTTTGTGTATTACTCAATTAATAGTTATTGGATCATAAGGAAATAAAAAGGAATTAAAACTTGATATTTGTGAAGGAGAAATAGCAATATAATAAAAAGTGGGACAGAGAGTGGCACAGGATGTGGGACAGAAGATCCGTTGCGCTAATAATTGTTTCCTTAAAAACTCCTAGTCAACTTTACCTCGACTTTGGTTTATTGAATCACCAGGCACCTGTCTACAAGAATCTCCCTTCATTTCATCACTGCAAATCTCTTCAGTTCGTGTTTTCTGATCACTACATTCATCGTTTCTGCTACGAATCTGTGTCAGGGAGAAGAAAAGAGAGAAACCAAGATGGTCAACACAGTCCTGGATTCTCCCATACAAAATCTGGATTGGCTAGAGAAGAATTGCAGCTTGGCATCTCCGTTGAGGGATCAAGTCTTGACCCTTAAACAGAAATCAAGATTTCTGAGGACATACTTGATTGCCACAGGAATATCTGAGGCTAATCCTTCTGCATCAAGCTCATTGATCAGCAGTTTTGAAACTGATGTTGCATTTAGCAAGGCGATAGATGAGCTTTCTTCTGCTTGTTTTCTGCCAGTGGATTTGGAGAAAGTTGATTCTTCGGTTTCTTACATGCTGGAAAATGTAAAACTTTGGGAGCCCAAAATAAAGAATGCTTATGCTATCCTGTCCGAGCAGCCCTGGGGGAGGGAAGTCAACTCTCCTCTGATTGATCCTATTTCTTCCGTGGTTTTCATCGACTCTGTACTGGAGAACCTGGTGGATATTTATTATGGCTCGAATCATCTAATCTCTTCGATGAAGAAAAAAGTTGAAATACTAATGGAGAAGTTAAGTTTCCTGATGGATTTCATTGGAACTGCTGCAAATCAATCTAATATTGTTCATCAGGAGATGGCAACTTTTCTGATCTATGCTCATTCTTTTACAACCAAAGCAGCGCGTTTCTCCTTTTTGTGCTGGGATGGTGAACCGGAAGACGTCATGGCTTGCCATATGGATGTTAAACTTTCTGATTTACTACAGACGATTATGCCCTCTAGCTCAGATTTGACGGAGATGTTCATTCAACTTCTGAAAGCTTCGACGCCAACGGGACCAGGAACTGCAAAGACAGATGCAATCGCAAGCATTATCAAACTTCTCCTGCAAAACACGGTAGAATCCCTCAAAGATCGATTCAGTTCCATACTTGAGGAGCTAATATACCTTATGAAATTTCTAGTGGTTCTACCAGATGAGTCGACTGGAGATCTGGAAAGGATCTTATCCGATATCAGAGCAGCCGCTAGGGAGACTGCATCATTTCAGGTCAACGAAGTGAAAGAACAGCAAGTCGTTGAAATGAATCTTGTTCTCTCAAGGTCTCTTCAGAGGATGAAGCTGATCAAAGCGGAGATCATTCTGATTCAGCTGCTAGACTCTCAAGAAGTTTTCATGGTGTCAATGAAGGATAAATACACTGCCCTCCATGAAGGGTTGAAATTCCTAAGAAGTGTTCGAATTGATCTACCTGAGGAGAAAGAAGAGGATAGCAAACTACTCTCCAAACATATTGAAGTGCTAGGAGCCGAGGTAATATCTTTCATACATTCAATTCATGAAAACAATTTGATGCAAGATCCCGAGATGGAAATGAAGCTTTCACTTCATATATTGCTGCTTAAGATTAAGCTGGTTAAGGCGGATCTATCATTAATGGAGCTACACAATCATGCAGCTATTCTGGTATTCGATGTTAAGGATCATGAAATTAAAAGCCTTCATGAGGACATGGAGTTCTTGAGAACATGTCTCATGGGCACCATAGAGGTTGAGGCTAATATAGAGGAGTGGAAATTGTTTGTGCTACATCTTGACTGTGTTGTTAGTGAGTCATCATCACTTATTTCGTCATTTGGTGGCAGTGGAATGACAGAAGATATGGCCAGTGAATTGGATCTTTCAATTTTCAGGTTGCTTGTGAAAATTAAGTTGATCAAAGCAGAGGTTATATTGATCGAGCTTATTAAAACTCCCAAGTTTGGCTTGATGGTTCACATGAATGATGAAATTAAAACCCTCCAGGAAGGGGTCAGATTCCTCAGAACCTTCCTCATTAATCCTCCCGAGGAAGAAGTGGATCAGCTGATGTTGGCAAAATGTGAAGCTATAGCCAACGATGCAGCATCTCTGATTTTCTCCTTTCATGAGCACGTAAGGAAGGGGGAAATGGCCTCTGAAATGAGTCCTTCGCTTTCTGAGTTCGCAGATAAGATTGAACTTTTCAAAGCAGAGATCCAAGGTACTTGTCTCCAAGTTCTATTCTCAGATTGCTCTGAAACACTTGGTACAGTAAAAATATTTGACCTCTTGGACTACATAATGGGCAAAGCTAAATCAGTTGTGAAATATCAAGTCGAAATGGTACTTGGGAAGTTCAAATTCCCGAGATTGTTCCTCATGGATACTGGCGAGCACCATAGGAACCATCAAGAAGTGAAATATCCCGTCGAAAAGCTACTTGGGGAGTTCGAATTCCTGAGATCCTTCCTCATGGATACTAGAGAGCACTATAGTAACCATCAAGAAGTGAAAGATCTTTGGGCATGTATTAAAGATGTTGCATGGGAGACAGCGTATATCACCAATTTGCTTGTGGTCAGAGATATTGCTCTTCGCTACTTAAAGCTGTGGATTCCTTCGGCCATGGAAGACATCAAGATCATTAAAGCAAAGATCATGGAAATATATGATGAGAAAAGGTATGGTATTGGTGCCGACAGTGATGCCTCAGCTGGTCCGCGGAGAATTGACAACTTTGTAGTTGGGCTCGACAATGAGGTAAGCTATATAACTTATCAACTAACAACAGGGACAAAGAGGACGGAAATCATTTCAATTGCGGGCATGGGTGGGGTGGGTAAGACAACTCTAGCACAAGTGGTTTACAACCATCCTCGAGTTGTTGAACACTTCCAGATCCGTGCGTGGTGTATTGTGTCTCGAGTATACCAAATACGAGAGCTCTTTTTTGAATTATTGCGTGATGTTATGGTTGTCTCTAAGAGAATTTATGACATGGATGATGATGGCTTAGCAGGTGTTCTGTACAAATGTCTGAAGCAAAAAACATACCTCATTGTTTTGGATGATATATGGGACCGCGCAGCCTTGGATGCTTTAAGACGATCGTTTCCAGATGATAATTCGGGAAGCACAATTATGTTGACCACCCGAATGCCTGATTTGGCTTCGCAAGCTGATTGGACGGCACATATTCCTTCTCTTAATCACCATGAATCTTGGCATTTATTATGTAGAAAAGCATTCGGTGATACTGATTTACCTCACGAACTTCGAAGCATCGGAGAGAAGCTTGTAAAGTACTGCCACGGAGTACCTCTTGCAATTTTTCTCATGGCTGGTGTCCTGGAAAAGAATAAAAGGAATCTTTCCTACTGGGTAAAAATGGTAGAAACTTTGCTCTCAGATCGTGATCCTGATAGAAATGTGCTCTTTTCTGCACTAAAAATTGCTTGCGACAGCTTACCAGATCACTTGAAGCCCTGCTTTCTTTATTTAGGAGAATTTCTAGAGGATAAGGAAATCCCTGCTCGAAAATTGTGCGGACTGTGGATCACAAATGGATTGATACAAAAAACTGAGTCAAAAACATTGGAAGATGTTGCAGAGGAATATTTGTTGGAAATAATATCTAGAAACTTGGTAACTATTTCTAGAAGAACACACAATGGCAGGGTCAGAGGATGTCGTGTTCATGATGCAGTGCGAGACGTATGCAGGTCGATGAAGAGGGTAGAATTGTCCTTTCATTGGTATGACGTAATTTTTACTACTCCTACTAGTTTGAATTGTAGTATTGATTCGCCAATGAAACCGTCATCTAATGGCTAAAGTTGAGATTTCAAGAATTAAAAATCTTATGTTCTAATTCCCCAACCCTATCTCGCTTCCTAAATCTCACACCTTCCTGGCTAGAAAAAAAATAATACTAAAAAGAATTGTAGTGCTGATTCTAAATATTCTCACACCTGAAGTGACTTCGTGTTGATTACTTTGGTTGTGCATTTCTTTGATGCAAAAAGCATTGTTTTGCAGCAAAGCTTTAGGTTTAGGGTCTGTGCAGCATGTATTTGAAATTCAGTTTAGGGTCTGTGCAGCATTACTTTGGTTGTGCATTTCTTTGATAGACTTTGCCTCCAGTTCATTCATATCTCGCAATTATTTAGTTCACTGGATGACAAGAAAAGAATGAAATAGTCTTCTCTTAATTTTGAACTTCTCAGACAATTTAAGGTACGAGAGACCTATGAATTTATTAAATTTGGAAAGCATGACACGAGGAATAGCCTTCATGCTGGATATCCAAGTTTGTCACGGAAAATTTTATATGGATACGGAGCAAGTACTAGACATGTCTAATAGTTGCTCCTGAGCCAATGCAAAAGTTTCACATGGACATGCAAAAGTCTTGATTTAAGTTAGCATGTGAAATCACCGAGTGAGATTTTTATACGTATATGTGGAACTTTTCTATTGGTGTTAGACCAATTGTTAAACATAGCTAGTGGTTGTTTCGAACCGATATAAAACTTCCAAGTGTACTATGTCATACTAACATGCTCAGGACGGTACAGAATACCTAGACTACTTACTGGATGAAAAGTCACTTACCCCTCTATGTTTACATTTTGCAGATGGTCATGCCGTTTATGAAGATGACCATGATAGCACTTGGCGTTATTAGAGCCAGAAAGAGATTGGATGTGTGAACTTTAGTTTGAGTAATTAGTTGTGTAGTTTAGTCCCTTTCTCTTGTAATCAGATATGTAGTAAGGCTGATGTTTCATTATCTAATTAGCAGCAAATTTGGTTGGATTCTTGGGAATTGTATTATGATTGTGAGACTTATTATGGATGCTAGAATTGCTAATTATCTTATGATGCAAATTATGAAATTGCATTATGGTTAATTTTATGGGAGTAAGGCGGTGTTATGTACAGAGTACTGGACCTAACGGGTCTCACTGCGAATTGTACAAGAAGGAAAAACACACCTTGGCAGACTTTCATTTACAGGGAGGAGGAGGAAAGCGGTCTGTTATAGGGAAAAATTGCAGGAACAAAGAAGTGCAGCCTTTTGCAGGATGACTCTCTTTTATTCAAGCCTTAACAAACGAACGGCATCAAAACCAAACAATCTGCAACATTTTCGAGCTAATTGTAGCATGCAACCTTAAATTATCAGCATTTTAGAGTTTACACCCCAAACTATCAGTTGTACCACTATCAATTTGTGGCACACTACTCAAATTAGTTATATTTGGTTGCCATTATTTTTAATCCAGACTTTAATTTAGGGTACTTCCATAAACACATTTGATTTAGGGGACATAAAGTCTTTTCATTCCAAAAATAGTCAAGAAAATTTTTAACTTTGCAGTTGATTTTAAATTATATGTTGTCGTAAAGTGTTAATATAAGATACAAAGTCATTACAATTTGCAATAGATAAGTTAGAGTGAAAAATGAAAATAAGTCACAGTTCAAGAGTTCATGTAATAGTCTAAAATTCACCCTAAATATTATTTGTTTCTATTGCCATCCAAGACAAATATCCAAATGCTTCGTTTTTTATTAGAAATTGGACCCGTTTGCTATCCATCATACTTGTGATAGGATTCTCAAAATGTTGCTTTACAACCATCAGCAAATTCCCAAGCAAATAATTTCAACACTAAAATCCAACCGAAATCCCCAAACAGAAAATAAAAAACAACAATGCATTTATTAAACCATACAACACAATAGACCTTGATTAACCAAGTCAGGGATTTCAAATCCTTGGATCTCAAACCAAACTGCCCATCTGTTCATGGATTTGGAAATTAGGTATGGATACGTTTTCTTCTTGTCTCATGAGATAGTGTGGCTCTTGGAGAAGAGGAGGCAACGATGGAGGGTGGAGAAAAGAGGAAAAATGTCATGGTGCATCCAATGCAAAAGTTAGCCAAATGGGTAATAGGAAGATGAAAGTGTACGAGGGATACAAAGGGAAAAAAATCCACTTTTCATCCTTAAATTTTGAGTTAGGGACACATTTTGTCCCCAAACTTTTAGACGCACCACATTTAGTACATGAATTAATTATTTTGAACCACATTTAGTTCAAAAACGATAAAATATTCAATTTGGATGAAACAGGCTGACGTGGCCGTTGATTTTGATCGAGAAATTATTTTTACTTAACGGTCACGTGCCAAACACGTGACTTTCTTCATCCAAATTAAACAATTTACCCTTTTTGGACTAAATGTGGCAAAAAAAATTAATTCATGTACTAAATATGATGCATCTAAAAGTTTGAAAATGAAATGTGCCCCTAATTCAAAGTTTATGGACAAAAAATGGATTTTTCTGGATAAAAGGAGACATCAAAAATGAATGAAAGGAGAGGGCATGCGATGGTGACTGTGAAGTATGAGTTTGGATGGATTAGGTTTAACATTTTCGAAGGGATGGCAGTTTTGACATTTCGTTCATTCCGTCTAAAGAATTTGGAAGGTGTCGCTGACAGGGAGCTTAGAGTTATTTGGCCAAATCTCAAGGTTTGATTTGTAGTTTGGCTAAACTACAAGGGAGGTAAATGTAATTAATCCATTTACACAAAGTAGTAGGGTGTAGACTTAAGAAAGTGAAGTGTAATTAATTGTGCATCAAAATTGGTGGAAATCAATAGTAGGCTTTCGTTCCATAATTTTCTAACTTTGAGATTCCAACTTCCAAAGATGGTTTATTGGTAGCAATTGTTAGGTGCTTCTCATTTTACCCTTCAAAATAAAATTTTTTTGAATAGTATGACACATGTCATTCAAAAAGAAAAAGGAACAAAAGGGCAAATGAGTAATGATCATATTTATACAGTTATACCTCTTTAAGATGACAAACATTTTGAAATATGTAAAATAAATAAATTTGAAACTTTTTTTGGGATGAAGATAGTGATAATATGTAAGAATTAAAGCACAATATTGCCAATATATATTTTTCAGCTATACTTTACGATGGTTAAAGACAAAATGCTTCCTTGTACTTAAGCGTGGGTACGTAATAAATCTCCCCCTATACCATGAAATACACAAATTAAGCTCTCAAAAAGCTCATAGTCAAACTCTAAATTTAACTTTCCTTTTATGAAAATTTACCCTTTTTGCGGCAAAAGGTAAGATTTGCATTTGAAGTATATCCTTCCATTCAAAAGAAAAACCAACATGTAACAATCATGTGTTGGGGGTAAAGGTGAATGTGGATAAGATTCATATGCAGCTTTTTTTATATACCAAAGGATCAGATCCGATTATGACAAAAATGAATATAAATTAGGTCAAATCTCACTTTTTTTAGGAGAAAAAATATGTATGATTCAGGTCATATTTTATTTTTTGAGGCAAAAGCGAATATGGATAAGCTCATTTATATAACTACAAATGAGATTTAATCTTTTTCACTCGTAAAAACATTGCCATGTGGTCATGTGATGAATTCAAGGTAAAAAATGATCAAAAATTTAGGGTGGGATCAAAATTTGTCAACTTGATTTTGTAAGGCATGTAAATTTGCTATTTTGAAAGTGAAGGATGAAAAAATTAATTTGGCAAAAATGAGAGATGTTTCAAATGATTTTTCCCTTTACCTAACTTAAGGTTTGTCCAAATTTAGAAAAGGATCCTTAACGTGATCCAAGAAACAGTTGAAACCCAAATTAAAAAAAATTACTATCTATTAAGAAATGAAAATTTCAAAAAAAAAAAAAAAAACTCTTACTTATTACACTATTTTCTCTATGGCTTATTTCAGCGGCCACCACACTCTCTAAAGCCACTTTTGCGTATACCAATCGTTCATTTTATTACCAAAAAAAAAGTTGTCCATTTGACTCAAATATAATTTAGTGTGGGATAATAATTTTTAGCTAGTGGTCTTTTTCTATAACATAATAATGAAATTTCATCTGTAATTCCAGATAAGTGGATTTGTTAGATTTTTATTTCTGATTTCTAACGTATGTCTTTGTACAAAAATAGTAAATTTTAATGCCTAGAATGGATTTAAAATTAACGGTGTATTTTTAATTGCAAAAAGGAGTTTGATTATTTTCACATTGACATGAAAATAGTTTTTAATAAGAAATATTCAATGGTGTCTAAAGAAACTGCACAAATGATTGTTACTATTTTGAGTAATGCCATATAAAGTTTTGGTTACACTTATTATAATCTATACAGTTATGAAATGATGGTTAGAATAAAATTAGTAATTTATGGATATTTTGAGAATTTCACCAAAAATTTTGGTGCATGTGATGAACTTTAATAGTGAAATGTTAATTTAATAAATGTTTGGTTATATAAAGCATTGGACCAATTTGGATAAACTGTAAGATTGATTTTGTCATTTGAACAAACCTCGGGAGAGGTAAGTATGATTTAAACAAACCCCAAGACAAGTAATTGTCATCAACTCAATAGATAAAAGGGTTTTTGGGAACTTATAGACATATTTGGCTGATGCAAGCACCATTTCCGATGGCAATTAACGTTAAAGGATATTTGATAAATATTTTACCACTCAAGGAGTTTGACTGTAATTTACAAAACTATAAAATTAGTTTGGTAATTTAATAAAACCTCAAGGGAGGTAAATATAATTAACCTGTACTTATAATACAATATTTCACATAATTTCAGAACTATAACACCATGTCAACAAAGCTGATATGGTGGTAAAATAGCTAGCCTTTCCGACCTCGTAACAACAATAATAATACTCCTCGTAATAATGGGGACATCGACATGGACATGTTCAATTAATTTTTTTTCTTTTGTCAAAACGGTAGAATTGTATTGATTGAATAAAAATAATGTACAGACATGTTCAATTCATTGGGACAGGTTGATTTCAAACTTTTAGATTTTAATATACCTAATTAAGGATGATTTCATAGATTATTAATTTACTTCTCATTGCAGTATTTTTGTCGCTTTCAATCTCTCTGATACCTTTATCTTTATCTTTATCTTTTCTCTATCGCCGGCCTGCCTTGATCTAAGGAAATGAATCACACGCATTTCTAGATACGGTGTACTTTTTGAAAAGCGAAGCAACAGCACATAATGAACCACTAGCTTTGGCCTTGTGGCCACAATCAAGCCGTTAACATTGGGTGGGGTGGATGGTAATAGTTTGTTTCAAAAATTTAGGCGAGTGTCTAATGCATCCGTCTGATCCGGTGATGGTTCAATCATCTCAGAGTTCCTTCTGGATCTACTTAGGTCCGCATCCTCCCTCTAGCATAATTATTAAACTCGGTCTGATCCGATGGTTCAACCAGTTAACCCAGTGAACCGGCTATGAAATCGGATTAGGTTGTTAATTAGATCGTTTGTGCAAAAAATCCGTTGACTTGTCAATGGACCGGCAATTTAACCAGTTGACTCGATAGAACCGGACGGTTTTATAAGGAACCCAGTTGTTGCGTTAAAATCAACCCTACCTCAAGCACAAGAAAGAAGCGTGCTCACCAGTGAACTAGCAAGTGATTTGGTGCTTATTTAGCCCTTCTATATTATATATTAGACATTTATTCTTATTTTATTTTCTTCAAAATAAAATTTGTTTGGAATCTTTTAATAAAATTTTATTATTTCCCAAATTCTATAAGTTATGAATGGATTTAAAAAAAGGATTAATCTTATATACACTGTCAGTGTATACATTATCACCATTAGATATATGCTATATATGCAATTTTTGAATTTGAAACCCAAAATTTGCTTATATGTCATCGATCCAGTCGTGATAGTGTATACACTGACAGTGTATATAAAATTTACTCTTTAAAAAATAGCATATTACACAATTTATTTTGAGGATAAATATT